CCTGTGGCTCTCACGGGTGCACAGCTTGCGGCTTACTTGGACCTCTGCCTCATCTTTCTTCTTTTGCGCTTCAGCCTGCACATTCGCTTCTTCCTCCACTTGGCTCTCATGGCGCAGAGGCTTCTGAGAAGATGGCGCTAAGGCCGAGAGCTTAATGTTCTTTTCAAATAATTTTTCATTTATTGAGCACCTACTATGTGCTAGCCTGAGACTACAGTGATAAATGAGACCACAAGGTCCTTCTTCTACCTTGCAGTCTAAAGTAGCATTTCTCAACCAAGAATCCTCATTTGAACCACAGAATACAGAAAATTATTTGAATTACTTTTTCTCAATTTCCCCATAACTAATAGCATTTTAAATGCATAAGAAGTTAATTCATTATATACAACAGATACTTTAGTATTAGGGTTTATGTCCCTAAATGCTAGTTGAGAAAGGCTGTGCTAAAGGAAAATATAATAAACGAGAGGCCCGGTGCATGAAAATTTGTGAATTGGGGGAGGGGGTGTCCCTCAGCCCAGTCTGCGCCCTCTCGCAGTCCGGGACCCTTCGGGGGATGTCTATCTGCCAGTGTAGGCCCGCTCCACGGGGGATCGGGCCTAAGCTGGCAGCCAGGCAGCCCGAGAACCCTCGGGGGATGTCCGACCAACGGCTTAGGAGCGGGCCCAAGCCGGCAAGTGGACATCCTTAGCACTGCCGTGGAGGTGGGAGAGGCTCCCGCCACCACCACTGTGCTGGCCAGCCATGAGTGGGCTTCCGGCTGAGCGGAGCTCCCCCTATGGAAGTGTACTGACCACCAGGGGGCAGCTCCTGCATTAAGCGTCTGCTCCCTGGTGGTCGGTGCGTGTCATAGCAACTAGTTGTTCCCAGTCATTCCACCATTAGGGTCAGTTTGCATATTACCCTTTTATTATATAGGATTACTATATAATTCATTACAACCACAAAGGCTATTTTATTACTGATAATACTGTAAAATATAATTTGGAAAAGAGAGCATAGCTTACATTAACTTACAATTCAGAAACAATATGTAATTCACATATACATTCATGAAGGTTAAAAGTATGTTAAAGTGAGACAGGAATCATATTCCCTGGGTTGAAATACTGACTCCAGGACTTACTATCAGCATTATCTTGAGTTCTAAGCTTCAGTTATATCATCTGTAAAATGGGGACAAAAAAAGAAAAATACCTACTCTTTTAGTTTGAGGATTACATTAGAATGTAAAGAACTCAGAATAGCCCAGTATTCCTCAAGAATTCTTAGTTGCTATGATTATTATGATTCATGCACATACTATGTACAAAGCACTATGGTAGGCACTGGGGAAATAGCAATGAGTAAGACAAGAACAATACCTCTAAGGAATTCTAACGTAGCAAGAAATATGTCATCCCTGCAAACAGCCATGATCCAAACAAAAGAGAAAAGTATCATGCAGGCAAAAAATACAGAAAAAGAAAAACATACCCAATTTTCGAAGAATCCTTTTGCATTCATCCCTGCTGAGATCCAAAAGGGTTGGCCACACAACAGGCATTGCTGCTTCTTTTTGGGAGCCCCAAAGAGCTTGTCTTCTCTACCAAAACAAAAAATCAGGTCGTCAAGTACATTCAAAAGGCCACTCACCTGGAGATCCACAGGCTAAGAAGTAAAACCAACAATAAGAATATCTCACAGCCCAATTTCACCACCACACTTTCCTACTTCTGACAAATGAACTACTACACAATCATCTGGGAGCATATTATTCCAGCCTATAACTGGAAAAAGCACAGGCTACAGAGGCAGACACCTCTAAAACTCTAGTTCCGTGTTTCAACTTTACTGGCTGTGTGATCCTGGGAAAACTGGCCCTTCTGAGCATACCTTTTACACATTTCTAAAGCAGAGGTATCATCACCCAGTTTGTGATGAGGATTAGAGAACTGTGTATGTGAAGTTACCACCGTGGCTGGTACATTGTTTAATTAACAGGCACTACTACCTTCGTGTAACCTTGGACAAGTTACTTGATTTCTGTTGGCTTTTCCACTTAACGAGTTACATGAGATAAAATATGTCAAAACTCCTAGCACCATACATGGGTTAATGGAACTTAATTAAGAAATTTCTCCTCAATCCTCACAATGACAGAGGAATGCACACCCTGTAGTCCTTGGCCATTTACCAAAAGTTTAGACGCCAGGAACTTACTTGGCAATGGGAATTCCCTAATCTGGAAGATAAAAAGAAAACGGAGCTGGGCACTTGTGCAATACCTGCTTAGCACACAGTGGGTCCGCTGTAAATATATGTTAAATAGATAAATGAATGACTGAGAAGAGTAAACTGAATGAATGAGTGAATTAATGAATAAACGAATGAATGAATGAACGAATGAATGAATGCAAGAACGAATGAGCGAGCTCCTGGTCCGGTCGAGGAGTCAGGCGCCGAACCCGAAGAACAGTTACACCCAGTTCCAGGCACCCAGACTGCTAACTCCCCGTTCCCCGCCTGGAGGGGAGCCCCCTCCCCCTACGTCCCATCGTCTGCTCGGCTCAGAACCTGCCCAGAGCAGGGAGAAACGGAGAGCGCGCCTCGGCCGCCAGGGTGACATAAAGAAAAGGGGT